TATCCCAACATAGTTATCATTGTTCAAATAATTTACAACATGAAAATCTGTGGGAATACCTTCAATGTAGAGAGTTATTAATCCCAAAATATATTGTTTTCCCCCCGCGACGCCAAACAAGTACCTTGGTGGACAGGGAGTGATGTTGAGTTCATCAGCCAAAGCTTTCTTGGCGATCAGGTTCAAACTATCACCCGTATCGATAAGGAATAGTTCATTTTTTCGAGCTAATTTGGGTGAGTTGAGCGTACTACAAGGTCTTCTACCCGTGGCGCAAATCTGTAATTTATCAATCTCTTTCGGGGGGATATTTCGAAGGGAAATTTTTTGTCTGATATCGTTAGGGTATTCGTGGAATACGAAATTATTCCTTTTTGCTCTGCTAGGAAGTCTAGACACAACATTCCCGTATATCCCCCTGGTGGTAATTCAGTAACAAAGAATTTAAACTGAACGCCTCGGATGTCAATGTCAATGAACCCAAGAGTACTTAAAATGCCGTCTCCGACCCCGACGATATACATTTTCTTGGATTAATCAACAAAAACATCTGGTTTCAAGACTTCTATCCAGATTAAATTTACCTTTCCACCTGTATCGATTAGAATTTCAGCTTGGAGGGTGGTCACGGGACAGGAGTTAGATGGTTTTTCAGGTCTTATTTTTGCTTCTTCAGCAGATTTCCTACTTGGATCGGGGATTGACTCAAGTTGCTGCTCACTCCCGGATATTGGGAGTGGGCAGCCTCCCCGTTTAAAGGCTGGAATCCTTGTGGGGTCGGGACTTGGGCACTCGGTGTTTGGAGAGATCTTGGAATAACCGGATTAATCTAGAGAAAATTGGGTTGATTACCAACTGGGCGATCATTCGAATTGCTTTGGAATTTCTGATCGAGTCCAGGAGTATTATTGGAATAAATTCCAAAGAGTTAGCGCCGTTTTGGCGATTATTGTACATAGCAGCGTTAGAATTACTAATCATGCCATTTGAAAATTGATGATTATTCTGGTTAATAGGCTGCTGTGAGTATTAAAAAGACGCGTTTGGTACCTGCATGCAAAATTGACAATTGCATTGATGTGGTAGGAAACCCTGATTGGCCAAATAACGTTTCATTGCCGCGATAATATGATGATTGTCCTAATTCACTACCATTGCAGGGTAATTGCATTAGTTAACAGGTAAGACTGAACAGTCTTTTTGAAAATCCCGGGAATGGGAAGTCCAGTCTTGCTGATCGGGTGAAGCCGTGCCATGACCCTGGGTCATTGGCATGGATGGGACTGAAATTTCTCCAGAGTTGTACAATGGAAATTATTTTGAGGATTGGGATCCATCTGATACTGATATTATGTCGTTGGTGTTGCCTGATTGCTAGGCAACATGGGGTAAGTTTCCTGATTGAGAGGCTGATTATTGGGGATATTTAAAAACTGTTGAGGATAGGGTTTGTTTTGGAATGGGACCAAAATTCTGTTTGTTCCCCTGAGCATTGAGGAAGTGTTTCGACTGATTAGGAAATTGATTATTGAATTGTGATCTATTCGAGTCAAAATACTAATTGGCAGACTGTTCTCTAGGTTGAAAGTGAGAATTTTGTTGAAAACTCGACTTTTGTTGAATGAATCCTGATTGTCTAGGATTTGGCCCACGTGAAAATGCCAATCTTTGAACTTTCGACATCAATCGATCTCTGTCCACCAATGGTTTATTTACATTGAATGCATCCTTCAACGTTTTTACGTCGTTTCTTTTTAATTCAGCACAATACTCATCAGAAATTCCGTCCTCGAATTTTTTCAGAGTGAATTCTTCGAGAACGTCAACGAGAGTTCGATTTTTCTCTGGGAATCCGTCTTGTAATGACGCTCTCGCGTATTTAAGCGCGCGGTGTAGTCGGAGGTTGAAATCATCAGCCTCTTCATTCTGTCTCGGCCACATATTAGAAACTAGGTTTTCATAATAAGGTTCACGATGTCGTACCCGATATTCACTCCCCACTATATCTAGTAATTGCGAAGCTGAGGCGGGGACAACTCCATCGAGATGAACTTTAGCAGGAAATTGAACTTTATTAATGATGGTGTGAATCAAATCAGAGTTTTTATCCCCTACTCTGTTGTTGCATGCCTTGACAGCGGTTTCGAATTCGATAAATTCAAATTCGACGTCTGGATTCCCATAAAATTCAGGAATTGTCGACAATAAATCTTTGATCCTGAGATAATCTAAATACTCGCCACCGACGGTTGTATTCGCAGTAGTATTATTATTCGCGGCAGGTGGTTCCTGTCTACCCTGGACTGTCTCCCGAAGTGTTCGATTTTCGTTTTGTAATTGATGGTGTAATGCCCTTAACTCTTCAAGTTCTTCTTCAAGAGTCATTTTGATCAGATTATTTTGTTAAAGCAAAAAAAAAAAAGATACTACGCGAATAATTTCTTTACTTTTCTTTCCAGAAATACTCGCAATGTTCAAGGTGAGAATCCCACTTCTGACACCAAATTTACTGTTGAATTTGGACAAATCAATGAAATAGTTTGTTCAAATTCATTAATTTTTCCAGTTTTCAATAAATTAATATTTATTTTTGTTTTTGAGGTAGTTACCTCTTAAGTGCTTGGCACATCTGAAAGTTACTAGTGAATTGGAAGGATTTATATGAAACGAGAATCTCAACAATTAATTTGGGCTCTGACAACAATGGAACTTTATTTTGAATTTAGCTGGTATTACAATACCCAGAATTAGACCTGTTTTCATATAGAAATTAATTTTTAATTCTCGATAAAATGAGTAAAGGACTTGACGAGAGAGAGAGAAACCTGTCCACGCGTTTGAACTAATTCAAAAAAAATTTTCGAAAATGATTTGCCACATTAACTGAATCCAAAATTTTTGCTCACTCACATTGATATTCTCTAGTAACTGAACTGCAATAATCCAATCAATTGATGAATTGTGTCACAGTATTTGAATACTTAATTTTCTTAGTTTTTCTTATGTTTTGTTTTATATTTAACGTAATTTTTCGTTTATCGATTGGTAAAATTATGTGTCTCTACACCGTTAAAGTTGCGCGAAAACGGAACAAATAATTTCGCACTTGGTCAACCGTTTCACGTCACAATTTTAAAGTTTTGAATAATTTTAATTTTGAAATTCACTTGTTAGAGGTATTCTGGGACTTGTTACAATACGAATGCTGAACCAGCACTCACGGCTGCTAAGGAGCTTGCGTCAAGGTGGCTCAGCGCAAATTACCTCGGTTTCGAGGAATATGGGGTCATGTTTGAGAAGGTGAGTTCTTTATTAGTTCTTCATTCACAGGTTTATGGGGAATTTTACTGGCTTTATGCGAGATCTCATCTGCGAAGTCTGATGGAGAATTTTTTCAATTCATTTCGATGAAACAAATTGTTTCCCATCGTTTTTCCATCATTTTTTGCCACTATTGAATTTCTTATCATTGGATCATTATCATTAGATTAATTTACTATCATTAGCACGAAAAAAATTATTGGAAAGACTAAACGCAGATAAATAACGCAGTCAGTTAACGCTCGTTAGAGGTATTTCTGGAGAATGAAAGAGAACGCAAAAAGTAAAATAAAAACGAAGGAGATGAAAAGGATTATGACGATTCCGAATAATTCTTCAATAATTAAATTTTCATTGTGAAAAATTTGTTGAAACCATTCATTTTTCCTGCATTATTATTGAGATAAAAATTAATGAAAGTGAGAAACGGTAAGGATTTACTATTTTGACACGCGTCGAAAGAAATACGCGCGCGGAGCGCCCGCCCTGTTCTAGTTAATCAAAAAAATTTTGAAGGTATTTCAATATTATTTTATTTATTTGGCTAGCGAGTGGCTCACTCGTAAAAGAGAACATTTAAACGAGTCGAGATGAAACAACGGGGTCGAAGTTTCCCTATAACATGCCATTGTGGATTACCACATTGTGTTTGATAGACATACAAAGTGGAAAGGGGATCAACGCGGCGATGGGATTGAGCAGGCACATATACCCTTTCATGCAGATTATTCGTTTGGTTAATATATGGCAAACGTAAATCACGGAGGCTGTGGGACAACTGTCCATCGAATATTCTCTCATCTACAAATGAATGTGTTTGACAATCCAGTCGGATTAATTGCCGGGAATATTTGAAACTGAATTTAAAAATCAATGTTCTTTCATTAATTTTAGAGGTTTTTCCTTTGATTAGTGAATTAAAATGGGGAATGAGAACACTCCAATTTGAATCCAAATAAATCATATTCGATGTTTTGATGGTCATAGAGTATACCCTGAATGTTCTTTGAAATTGATCGTCACGCTAGAAAAATTCCTTTTTGAAATTAAGAGTCAATTGTTCCCTTTTTTAAGACTCTCATGTCCCCAAATCCATGTAATTCTTGGGGTCTCAAATTAAGTCAATAAGACATGGATTCTATGCATTTTAGCTATGCATATTACTCGCAGATCTTTTGTTTCGAACTATTGATATCTCATTAGTTGGTTAAACAAATACTTCATACATTTCTTTTCCATGAAACTCGACCATGGTCAATCATTGCGAACAAATGTATGAAATGTTGCATAAAAAAGCCAATCATTATTCCACTGATAATTTTGTTTCCTTTAAGGGGAATCCGCGGTGAAATTTGGAAGTCTCTGGATTTTGATGGACCTAAGCTTAAAGTTTTGGTAGTTATTGGGGGTCGATAAAAAGTAATATTGAAGCCGCTACCGGAGATTTTCGCCACGTAGAAGGGGTCAAAACGGATGAAAAACCGTTTGAACCTTCAATACGGTTTAAGTGCGTCATTTTTCAATCGATTGAGCTAAAATTTGGTGTACACATAGCTTTTATATACCCAAGTAGCTATGCCTGGATTCTTCAGAACATAGTTTTTTAGTATATATATCTGAATTTTTTTCTCCCTCGTGATATACCCGAAAATCATGGAATAAGTCAAATATTCATTTACATATAGTCTCTTTGAAGCACAACTTTTTTTAGATTCTTATATGAAATCCTGCCATATCTCGAGCTTTCCAGTCTCCTGAAAGCAAAAGTAGTATTAGAAATATAGATTTAATCTGTCAGAAAATATTCAGTAATCCATTTTACAATTTTACTTTCGTTATCATGAAAGGTTGAATTATTTTACCATTTTAGAATCCTCCAGCTTTGTATGATGGTCCTCTTTTCCTCTGCTGTTTCGACACTTCAGCGGCTCGCTGCTTTGTTCCATTTTTCTCGTGAATTTCTTTGAAGTGATTATCTGTTGATTTGCACTACGTGATACTCTCCTATCGTCTTGTTTACGAAAAATTTTCTTTGAGTATGAACTGGATTTTTTGTTCTTGATGCCAGCTCTCAGTTGCTGACAATGACGACACCCCATGTTGAATCTACCAACTCCTTTCGTTACAAAAATTCGTAGTTTTTTCAGTGACATGTACACATGCTTCGGACAATTTCTCCATATGATGGAGAGTAGAGACTCGTTAGCGTTTTGTGTTCCTCCTCTCGTGCATCTTTAAAGAAGTTCATCACCAGACAATCGTGTATATAGTAGCTGAATAACTTTGAGAACTTCTAGATTCAATTTGACCGACATCTGCTTGTAATTCCCAGGGGGTTGTTATCGCGCTCTGCATTTATTGTAAAAACACCATGAATTCTCACCTTTGGGGCTTCGTGGTTAGGCTTCTCATCAGTTGATGAGCAATATTTCAGAGATGCGAAAATCCCTTTCCTCATAGCACCAATATCTGGCAGATTGGCAACGATTGCATTTCTGTAGAAATTTCCAAGAGCTGTTATACAGGGTGTCCCATACCAGGTGACCAAAGTAAATTGCGTAGAATACCGCAAGGTGGCAGTGCAGTCTAAAGTCGAATATATGGTTGAAGTGGAGACTCTCCGCAAAGTTCATTCATCCTTCAGTCGCTCGGGAATTGCAGCACTAAAATGGAAAATTTAACCATCGAACAAAAATCATTCCTCATCAAGTCATATTACCGAAAAGGAGATGCAGCTAGTGCAGCTATAAGAGCATTTCATTCTAAGTATGGCACATACATTGGAGTGTCTGATTCGAGTCTCAAACGTCTCAAAGTCCCGCCCTCGGGTGGAAAGTACTCACTTTTCCCGCCCTCGGGTGGAAAGTACTCACTTTCCTCCCGCTCATCAGGAAGCAAAGTACGAACTTTCCATGCAGGTGTGTGAAAGAAGCTTTTGGTACTTATTGGGAGTCGATAAAAAGTAATATTGAAGCCACCACGGGAGGTTTTCGCCACGTAGAAGGGGTCAAAACGGACGAAAAATGGTTTGCGCCTTCAAAACGATTCAAATGCCTCAATTTTTAATCGATTGAGCTTAAATTTGGTATACCCATAGTCTCTGTTTACCAAGTATAGTCGTGCATGGATTTTTGAAACTATCGATTTTTCGTATATATCTGAATTTTTTTCTTTTTCGTGATATACCCAAAAATCATGAAGTATGTCAAATATTCATGTCAATATAGTCTCTTGAAAGAACAATTTTTTTCAGATTTTTAAACACAATATTATTCTAACTTTAATTTTATTGGGCGTTGTTGGAATCACCAACGCCCAATTTCCAAGGGCGGAAAGTCTTGACTTTCCACCCGAGGGAATAACTTTCCACCCGAGGGCGGGAAGTACTCACTTTCCTCCCGCTCATCAAAGAGCAAAATGCGAACTTTCCTTTGGAGGCGTGTTAAAAAATAGCATGTGCACCTCGGGCGGGAAAACATGACTTTCCGCCCTTGGTGTACAATATACTATAAGCTTAGTCCTATCAAAATCCAGGGACTTTCGAATTTCACTGCGGTCTCCCCTTAAAAAAACGGTCATGAAGCGGAATTTGAAAGAAGTGAGGAAAATTAGGGTAAAATAGTTTTTGTGATAAAGGATATTGGCGGAAAGTGTATTAATTCGAATCATATTTGAGGTTTATACGCCCTTCTGATCTTGCAATGATACTATGTTTGAATTCATTTGACTGCTCTGCCGCTCATTACTCTTCCCCAACCCTCTGAGTAAATTCAAAATTTTAATAAATTTTAACACAAAGGATAATTTACCAAAAGCGTCCAATGATTCTGTCTTAATGGGGTTAATATCTTATTGTAGTGCTGCCTGTTTCCTAGTGAAATGTCTTAGATTAAGACATCTTAAGACCCGGCTATAATAATTTTAGTCCTCTCCCCCACCCCCTTCTTCATGACCCCCGAGGGGATTCCTAAGGAGACAAATTAATTAACGGGGACCTTAATTGTGGGGATAAAAATTGATTGAAAAATATAATATGCCTATAAATGAAGAGGTTGTGACCTCCCAGAGGTCTGTAATTGGATCTGAGAGAGGTGAGGACCGTAATTAGTGCATAATTATTGGATGAAAACTGTCACTAGATCCTCTCTTTTGATACCCCTCACGACACAAAAATGGCGATCGAATCACTGGCGTAAAAAACCAACAATTGGGCTCGCTTAATAAGGAAACGCCATCTAGGCTCTGAGGCACTCGTGTGCTCACATACACAACACAACCAAATTTTGGGCTTGTGTATGCGCGTATATGAGTACTTCAGAGCGACTATATTTACGAAAAAAGCGCGCGATGTTATTTAGCGAGTCCAATTATATGTCCTGGAAGCACTCCACCACTGTGGGACCTAATTACCAACACTTGAGCTATTGTTTCACATTTTTTGTAGTATTTTTTCACCACCATTATCCAAATAATATAGCCACAATTGCGGAAGCCGCGAATGAACTGATCACCTGTCAGGGTGGGTTTTCACTGGTAGCGACTTATAGCGTAATCTGTCCGACTAATGCTGAAAAAAGCCCGTAAATTCAAATTGCAGAATCTCACGAATATCACGAACATGATCTCTCTCAAGGGTCATGCCTAGTGAAGATCATACGTCGCGAGGGTCAAACGTACAAAAGGTTCAGAAACACAAGGGCCATCTCCATTATGCGAAAGTAAATCGCATTATTTATTGAAATGTATTGGATTCTCTGCCGAATGAGAGCTGTTTCACCCTTGCGTGGTATGACTCTTGCGATCCTCGTGAGTCATTAGCCTTGCAATGCACGAACCGCGCAACTTTTCCCTCCATCCGTCTCTCCCGTTTCACTCCTGCAAGGATCATCGCAAGGGTCTCGTTTCACAAGGGCCACATATTGTAAGAGTCATAACTCACAAGGATCCTATGTCACGAGGGTCACACCGCACGAGAGCCAAACATCGCATGAGTCATCACTCGCAAGAGTGAACAAGCTCTCACTCAGCAGAGAATCCAATAATTTTCAATAAATAATTAAATTTACGGTCCTACAATGAATATGGCCCTTGTGTGTTTAAACTTTTGTGACGCTTGACCTTCTCGACGTATAACCCTCACTAGGCATGACTCTTGAGAGAGATCATTTTCGTGATATTTGTGAGATTCTGTAATTACAATTTACCCGCTTTTTTTTAGCAGTAGCAGGGTGGTTTAGGCCACAAGTCGCTAAGAGTGGAAACCCACTCTGACAGGTGATCATATTATTTGGATAATGGTGGTGAAAAAATGCTTGAAAATTTACTTTCGTATAATGGAGATGGCCCCTGTGTTTCTGAACCTTTTGTACGTTTGAGCCTCGCGACGTATGACCTTCACTAGGCATGACCCTTGAGAGAGATCATGTTCGTGATATTCGTGAGATTCTGCAATTTGAATTTACGTGCTTTTTTCAGCATTGGTGGGACGGATTACGCCATAAGTCGCTACGAGTGAAAACCCACTCTGACAGGTGATCTGTTCATTCGCGGCTTCCGCAATTGTGGCTATATTATTTGAATAATGGTGGTGAAAAAATACTACAAAAAATATGAAATAATAGCTCAAGTGTCGATAAATAGGTCGCATCGTGGTAAAGTGCTTGTAGGAACTATAATTGGTGTTTTTTACGCCAGTGTTTCGACGGCCATTTTTGGGTTGCGATGGGTATCAAAACAGGATCTAGTGAGTTTTTATCCGATAATAAGGGGGGACCGGGGCAAGATGAGACTCCGGGTCAAAATAGTCAGCGGGCAAAAATGACACCCCGGGGTACATTGAAACTCCTGTAAAATTTGAGATTTAACTCAAATAATTATTTATTCTATAGTTACTAATGAAATACCTCATTGTAGGTCAGTTTGAAGTACTATAAACATGACTCAGATATCAAAGATTATAACCTGAAAAAATTGTGAACGGAAGTTAATAAAAATAGAAGCATGTTGGTTAAGTTAGCCCTCAATCCTTAGTCTAGTATTATTAATAATAATTGATTAATAAATGCCAAAATAATACAAATTTAGGAGAAAATCAGTCATTCGAGTTTAGAAGAAGATGAAAATATAGAAAAAATGTTGAAAATTAGGAAAAAATAAATAAAAATTCTGCACCTTATACGAAAAACAGCGTCTCAAATTTTTGTGATGAATAATTTAGGTACAGTAGGACTCCTGTAATTTCGAGCCGACAATTTTCGACGGGCAGAGTCACTGCGTCCCCACTCGCGCACTTTCAGTCCCCACTCTTTCCGTTTATGAAATGGTCCCATCATTTCTCGGGCGCATAGCCCTATGCTCGCGAGTGTTTCCCTAACCTCACTCATTGGGAAAAATGTACTTTGGGGTTATGTACTCATGTTTACCCGACGACCGAAGACAGAGAGCAACATAATGCGTTCTCTTTCTGACCTCTCCACTACGCGCGCGTGGCCAATGAGAGCTCCGCCTACTATTTTCGACTTCTCGGAATTCGTTCCCCGGTCGGATCGAAATTATAGGAGTCCTACTGTATCTAGATACTCTGCATGTACAGAACGCCTTAGTCAAATGAGAAACTACTGTGTTGTATATTTTGGAAATAAACTCAGCAAACTCAATCGCTCGGGTTAACAGTATTTATTATAAAGATTGCATCAAAATTAATGGAATACATTTTGCAAGAATAATCGACATGTGTTTATACGTTCACCATTTTCATCCGACCCTCCGGTCGAAGCTCATGACGAGAGAAGCTCGGTGGTTCGCAACAATTCAAATATCTCAGCCGATAACCAGACTGCCTTTGATACCACTTTTCAATACCTCCCCTTCAAAGCAAACTGGTGAATGACTAATACATGCAACATATCATTGAATAATAAAATTTCAATTCCCAGTAAGAATAAACAGTACAAGTGACACGATTGTGTCAATCCTTTAGTGAGCACGTCGAACAAAAAAACTTAATCAAATAATCAAGTCAGGGAGTTTGACCCTCTTGACCCTCGTCATCTATTGTTCCTTGTTGTACCTTGTGCCCCGTATGGCCCTTATGACCTTAAAGGTCCCTGGAGGCCGCAGGAGCACAAAGATCACCTCCCTTACCCCTCCTTGTAACATGAAATAGACTTAATCAAATAATCAAGTAAGAGAGTTTGACCCTCTTGACCCTCGTAATCTATTGTTCCTTGTTGTACCTTGTGACCCGTATGGCCCTTATGACCTTAAAGGCACGTTGACTGGCATCCGACCAGTCAACGTATACTCCAGCATTAGAAAGCCCTCGTCGATATTCTCTTGAACGAAGTTGTGTCGAACGTCTATATGCTTGGACCTGAAGTGAGTTGTTGGACTCTGAACACGACTCTGAGCAGTTTGTGAGTCATTCCAGAGTGTAATCTTGTCGCACTGCAAGCCGACCTACTGCAGTAATTTC